GAAGGAAGGAAGGAAGGAAGGAAGGAAGGAAGGAAGGAAGGAAGGAAGGAAGGAAATTTTAAAAAGATTCAGAATGCAAAAAACCACAATAAAAACAATTAAATATAAGGCACCATGAAATGTTTTGAAACAAAAAAGGGGGACCACTTCCTATTTTTGGCCCTAAACCTATCTCCTTTATGGAGGAAAACCGCTGTGGTTTTCAGAAAGGACACCATTATGCGTGTGTGTGTGTGTGTGTGTGTGTGTGTGTGTGTCCCCTCCTCATTTAAATGTTCCCTGACTCCAACAGTGGAGGACTCCATCACTAAAAGAATCAGGAAGCTAAACTAAGCCTTGGCTCAGTTTGCACACTGCCCTAAGCTGTGGTTTGCAAATAAACTGCAATTTGTAGCTTAGCATAACGGGGGAATAAGACTCCCTGGTTTGTCGTCCCCCCCACCCCTTGTGATTAAAGCAATCGGAGCAAAATTCCCTAAGCCAGGGGTGGCCTGAGACAAAGTGAGGGCTGAGATAAGCAATCTATCTTTTTAAACCCACCCCATAAGCCCCCCCCCACCTCCAGCTGACCAAATGACCAACAGATGCTAACCGCCTGCCTTGGCTCTATCCACATGTCTCTGATTAGATTTATTTCCCTTTGCATTCCTGTATATATGTACGGCGGTCACTTAGCAACGGCTCCACTTAGCATTCCTGCCTCAGTGTCCCACCGGGGTGGTTTTCTTTCTTTTTTTTTCCCCCATGCCTGAGTAGGCGTTGGGGTGATTAAATTTCCTCCTTTCTGCTTTCCACTTACTAAACCCTGGCTTGGTCTGCAAGGGAGGAAGCGGGAGGACGTTTGTGAGATAACAACCTCACAGCAACTCTCCTTCCTTTCTGGTGCGTGGAAACCCTCCCACCCCAAAAGAGGCCTTGGCCGTCTTTAACCAAAGGGAGCCTGGAGCAAATTCCTTCTTCTGGATAATTCAGTTCTGTCCGGTGCGGAATCTCCTCTCTAGCTGTCTCCCCCGGAGGGAAAATCTTTCAGATGTAAACAAGTCAGATAAGGTTGCTAAGCACATCAAAGCTGTGTGTGTTAGGCCTGAGAAGAAGCAGAACGTGCCCAGATGTTCTCAGATTCAGAACAGAGCTGGAAAGGGACCTTGGAGGTCTTCTAGTCCAACCCCTTGCTCAAGGAGGAGACACTATAGAACCGTGATGGCGAACCTATGGCGCGAGCCCCAGGTAAAGTTACCTCACTGCGCATGCGTGCGCCTCCCAGCTTATTTTTGGCCTGTTTGGGGCCTTTTTCGGCTTCCCAGAGGCTCGAGGTAAGCCTCTGCAACCTTTGCAGGCTGAAAAACAGGCCCGTTTTGTCACTTCCTGTATTTCTGGAAATTCCGGAAGTGACAAAACGAGCCCATTTTTCGGCCTACGAAGGCTGCGGAAGCTTCCCTCGAGCCTCTGGGAGGCCTAAAAAGACCTCAAATGGGCTGAAAATCAGCTGGCAGGTGCAGTGCAGGCAAGGGGGCGGTGGGGGAAATCGCGCATGCATGTGTAGGGGGCGGTGGGCCTCACGCATTGCCTTCTGGGTGCTGGCACATGAGCACACGCGCACAGGACAATTTTTGGCACAGGAGCCCAAAAAGGTTAGCCACCACTGCTATAGAAGTTGAGACAAGTAGCTGTCCAGGCTCTTAAAAACCTCCAGTGATGGAGAGTGCCCACGATTTCTGGTGGCCAGCTGTTCCGCTGGTTAATTGTCCTCACTGTTAGGAAGTTTCTCCTTAATTCCAGGTTGGTTAGTTTCCATCCATTGTTCTTTGTCTTTCCTTCTGGTGCTTTGGAGAATAATTTGACCCCCTCTTCTTTGTGGCGTCCCCTCAAATACTGGAACCCTGTTATCATGTCCTCCCTAGCCCTTCTCTTCTCTAGACTAGCCAACCCAAATCTTGCAGCTATTCGTATGTTTTAGTCTCCTCTTAGTTGCTCTTCTCTGCACTTTGTCCAAAGTCTCAACCTCGTTTTTTTGTCGTGTGTTGACCAAAACTAGACGCAGGATTCCAGATGTGGTCTTCTTGCTAGATTTTATAAAGCGACACTAATACTTCACGTGATTTTTGATTCTATGTTATGATGTCTATGACTCAAGCAGTGGTGGGATTCAAAAAAAAATTACTACCGGTTTTGTGGGCGTGGCTTGGTCAGGGGAAGGATACTGCAAAATCCCCATTCCCTCCACACCCCACTAACCTGCTTTCCAGCTCTGTTCTCCTGTGCAGGGCAACAAAAGGAGACTCAGCCCGTCAGCTGGGACTCAATGGGAGGCGGAGAATAGATGGGGTTGGCAGGCCCAGTCAGAGATGGGATTTGCTGGTTCTCCGAACTACTCACAATTTCCGCTACCGGTTCTCCAGAACCGGTCCGAACCTGCTGAATTACCACCTCTGGATTCAAGTGATCATCCACTAGATCTCTTCCAACCCTACTATTCTAAGTTCTAAGTTTCAGCTCACCTAGTTGTGTGAGCCTTCCTCCGTCTAAGACACTTATGGAAGACGTCTCCCTCTTAGATTATAGTATTATAATTTTTTTGTGGAGACAGTTGTCTACTCAAATCAACCAAAAGTGGGGGAGTTTTTCCTCCCTCCTCAAACCTCCTTTGACTTCTCTTAAAGTAAGCCTCCCCTGTGGCTGACATCAGCAGAATTTATCAATTGAGAAACAGGAAACCAGAGCTAAACTGGTGACGTGATCTCTCAGTGGAGATTGGCCGGAAAAACAAGAAGGCATTGTTCCTTTTTCTTTCTTTCTTTTTTTCTTTTTCTTTTTTTTCTTGTGGAAAAACCGTTCAGGGGGGCCGCGGGGCGCTTGTCAAAACCCACAGCAGAGTGTTTTTTTGGGATCCAGCTTGACTAATCTCATTTGCATGCTGGCTCGGTTTCTTTTTTTCAAGCGAGTCTCTTCGCTCTTCAAACAAATGTTGCCAGGAGTGGAGGGTAGGGGAGACAGAATCAAGCGGCTTCTCAGCATCTCTTCATGACTAGCCAGGGCCTCTCTTAAGTCTGTATGTGCTTTGAAGAAGGATGTCTCAGACTATGGAGGAGGAGAGAAAAGCGAGGGATGGGAAGCTTCAAAAAAAAGGTCTACGTAGATTGGTTGCATCCAGTTTTGGTCATCACGATGGGCAATGACTTGTCTGAAATGGTATAAGGTCCCCCTGTTGAGCAGGGGGTTGGCTAGAAGACCCCCAAGGTCCCTTCCAACTCTGTTATTCTGTTATATATGAAAAAGATGTAGAGGCTCCAGAACGAGTGCAGAAGAGAGAAATAAAAATGGTTAGGGGACTGGAGGATAGAACATAGGAAGAACGGTTGCGAGAAATTGGGTATTTCTACTTTAATGAAAAGAAGGACTAGGGGTGATGTGATAGCAGTCTTCCAATGTCTAAGGGGCTGCCCCAAAGAAGACGGGGTCAACCTTCAAAGTACATGAAGGCAGGACAAGAAGCAAAGGATGGAAACTGATCAAGGAGAGAAGCAACCTTAGAATGAAGGAGAAATTTCCTGATTTTTGCTCAAGCTAGTTGCTTCTCTTTAACCATCCAAGGATGCGGTCAAATAAATCAAAATGGCAAAGTTCCAGCTGTTGTCTATGTGTTCCATCTTCACAAAAAATCTCCAGAACCGTAAAGCCTACAAACTTGACGTTTATCACTTATGTTCCTCTTGGCTCCTGGGTGCTCACTAAGAAAGGATTTTTCGAAATGACCACCATAACATTAGTATTTCAAATATTATTGTTATTATTAACAAGCTCTGATGTTAAGGAGTTCTACTCCCCCTCCCCACCTGAAAAGAAATCTGTTCCAAATGCAAAACACAAGCAGAGGAGAGGTCTTTCAGTTTCAGTTTTATTTTCACAGCACCAAGCAGCTTTAGTACAGAACAGTTGAGCTAAAGCACGCCCAGGCTCCTTGCTGTCTCCTTCTTGCTCACACAGCAAATACTGCTTCCGTTTCCAAACAGCCCTCAACTCTCCTCACACACTGACAGGATGCTAGCCAGATGGATACCGATGGATGCTGGTAGGCAGAGGCAGAATTTTCCCCCCTTATTTTCCTCCCCAAAAACTAAGCCCGATGACATAGTTTCATAGCGAAGCACGAGTATCCAGCTAGTAACTTAATTTTAAAAGTTAAACATTAAAGATTAGCAGGTAAGAGGAACAATGGTAGAATGATGGCCTTCTGTTCTGGAGAACTTAGAAAGTCAGACCAGCAAAACCCTGCTGGACTTCAATTGAATCCTGATGCCTTCTCATCAAGTTTGCATCCTACTTTCAAAGCTCTTCCCAATTCTTGCTTCCCCCTCTTAGGTCTCCCTGATCTCGTACCTGATCCAAACTATGTCCAAGCGTCCACTTATGTTCAGAGGGCACACCTCTACTCACTCCGTTGCGCAGCTGAAGAGAAGTGCCTCGCAAGGTAACCCTCTCCATGTTTCCCTTCTTTGCTTAATCATTCATTTGTTCCTTCGTTCACTTGTTCAACCTGTGTAGACAAGCAAGGCACAGCATCTCTGAGTGGGATGCCAACAAATTAGGAGCGATTTTTACCAGAAAAAAAAAATCAAATGGGCCAGACTAACCAGTAAGTTATCATAGATACATTGTTTATCATTCTGTCAATTCAACTATAATTCTATCTTTTATTTAACATCTGTCATCTATCATTCCAAATCTTTATCATTCTAACTATAATTCTATTGATCTATTTATCTGTCATATATCATTCCAGATCTTTATCTATCATTCTAGCTACAAATCTATTGATCTATTTATCTATCATGTCATCTACCATTCCAAATCTTTACCATTCTAATTATAATTCTATTGATCTATTTATTTATGTGTCATCTGTCATATATCATTCCAGATCTTTATCTATCATTCCAGGTACAATTCTATTGATCTATTTATCTATCATGTCATCTATCATTCCAGATCTTTATCATTCTAGCTATAATTCTATTGCTCTACTTATTTATCTGTCATCTGTCAGTTATCATTCCACATCTTTATCTACCATTCTAGCTATAATTCCATTGAACTATCATTCCTTCTACCCTGGAGAAAAAGTGACTTATGACCATTTTTTCACACCTACAACCATTTGACCATTTTTCACACATATGATCATTGCACCATCCCCAAGGTCACCTATATCTAAAATTCAGATATTTAGCAACTGATTCTCACAATTATAATGGATTGTGGTCATTATGATGGGATCATGGGATTTCCTTTTGCAGCCTTTTGGTGGGCAAAGTCAATGAGGAAGGCAGCTTAACTATACCACCATGTCACTAACAGAACAACTGCAACCATTCATGTAACAATTCTGACAAGAGCGATTGTACAATGGGGCAAAATTATAACTGTCTCGCTGAGCAACACAAATTTTGGGCTCAATTATTGTCATAAGTTGAGGACTACCTGTAAAAGAAATCTCTCCAAGTGTGATGACCCAAAGGGGCGTGGCACAAAGGCAACACAGTCAGATAATCAGTAGGAGTCCCTTTATTAGCTCCAACTTTGCCCCCAATGTCCAGGTTACCTTCTGGCTGGATAAAAACTCTCCCAGGAACAGCCTTTGACTGCAGAGAATCAAGTCCAAAACGCGGTCAACAAAAACTGTAACTTAAAGTCCAACCAAGGCAAGATTAGATAATTAGTTCGGCAGGGCAAGAGAAGGAATTCCAGGCATGAAGGAATGGCAATAACTCAACACAGTTGGGAGGATGTCAGGAACACAGATAACCAAAGTCAACACAAAATAAACTCACGTTTGTTCCCAACGGATGCCGCAGTCAACATGCCTCTCTTTTAAACTCTCTTCCCAGCTGTGGCTAATGAAGGGAATCAGGGCCCTTTCCCTCCCCCATAAGCCATGCAACCCATGTTGCTCTCTTCTCCATTCCTCCCTGCCTGTCCTTGGATGAAGAGGGGTGGGCCTGGGTCTTCCTCTGAACTCCCTCTTCCTTGTTCTACCTCTTCCCTGCTCTGCCCAGCCGGACTTTGCCCTAGCCCAGTTTCCTCCACAGCCAAGCTCTTCATCTTCCTCCTCAGATTCAGACTCTGGCAGGGGCATGACACCAAGTGTGAAGAGGATTGCAGGCTAGTTTATGGTGGGGGGGGAATAGAAGTAAAAGTCAGATATGGCAAAGGTTATTCTTAATTTTGAAGTCAGGTGACGAATGCCAACGGAACTGAGGAACAATGGTGAGATTTCACTGTCAGCAACACCAAGGAAAGCCTGAATTTTGTAGAAGAAAGCGAGAGGAGGATCTTCCTAAAAAGAAGCCAAAATAACAGAGGGGGTAGGAAACATATTCAGCACCAAACATGGTTGGCAGCCCTTAATATAGATTTTGAATATATTTCCTTGCTTTAAAAAAAAAAAAAAAACTGGAAACTTATCCAAGCCACATCGACTGGCCTCCCAACGTAGAATGATAATTTATTTTAAAAGTGGGGAAAAATACTCAGCCTGTTCAACTCCATTAAGCAGGGATGTAATTGAAGGAGGATTGGACAGCCCGTTCAAGAAGGCCCTTAAATGGAGTTTAAGGAAGGAAGGCTGAAAAAGAGCTCAACAAGATATTATCTGCGCGGATTGGAAAAAGCTGTATTTTCAGGGAGATGGAGCTAGTTTGCATGTAGTTTAAACTAGGGTTGTCCAATCTTGGTGACTTGAAGCCTTGTGTACTTCAACTCCCAGAATTGGGCATTGAAGTCCACAGGGTCTTCAAGTTTCTAAGCTTGGAAACCTCTGATTTAAACTTGGATGACTGCATCTGATGAAGCAATCATCAGATGCAGTCATAGTTCACCCAAAAATACTTCTGCCTTTTATTAAAACATCCTGGGCTGACTTCCGGTTTGAAGGGCTTCGGCGACAGACAGAAATCCGTGATCGTGCGCGGTTTCTGTCTGGGCTCGCCGCTAGAGCGCCCCGGGCCGGCTGGTTTGGAGGCTAAGCCACCCCGTAGAGGTGGTGAAGAGGGGGGAGACCGCCAGCAGGGTCGAGGAGAGCCGCATCTCTCCTCCTCAGCTGGCCATTACTCCCTTTCCCGAAGGCGGTTGCAGCGGTGGGCAGAAAGGGCCACCACAAAGAAAAACTCGACCGGAAAAGAATGTGCAGGAGGAAGATAAGAAGTGAAAGTTTTGGCTGACCAGGTTAAATTGTAAAAGCAACAACCAAGGTACCCTGGAATTTAAACTTACAAAAAATAACATCGCTCCCAAAGAAGAGTCGGAAGCAGCAAAGGAAAGTGAAAAGGGAAAGGTTTGGCTTTTTTCCCCCTTCTCTCTCCTTCCCTATACTGACAACTAAGAGACTTAAATAAGAAATTGGAAAAATCCGCTTTGACATCAATAGGCAATTAAGCTGAAAATAAAACAAAATGCCAAAGGGATAATAAAGATTTCTGGACATTAAAAACTTTCTTTTTCATAAGCAGGAAGGGAGAGAAAAAGAATAAGGGCAGGATCTGGAAGAGGGAGGAGACTGCCTGGAATTAAAAAGAATCTAAAGTAAAACTTCAACAAGACTTCTAAAAGATACATTTTAACTGAAACTTTGCAACTAAATAGTAACCCCAGGAAGAGAAAGTAGGAAAAAAAGAGCAAAAAAGAATCAGCTTGCGTGTATTTGGATTATTTGGTGATCTTTGGATTTTTGGTTATTATATTTGAATGACTAAAATCAATCGGGTGGTTGTTTAAAAATGTATACAATGGCACCACTTCTGGATGAATTGAAAATGGAACTTAAAAAGTACAAAGAAGATGCACAAGAAGGGAAGGGTTCTTTTGGCTTCGTCTTTCAATTCTTAGAAATGGAGATTTGGAACTATGAGAAACAACAAGAAAAGACTGCAAAACAAGAAGACTGGGACAAAGAAGAAGCCATCTTTCATGAACAAGTAATTCTATGTGGGGAAGAAAAAGGAAAGGGGAGAAAGAGAATGGAGAATTTAAGACTTAAAAAACAACCAAAGAAAAGAAAAATAATTCGAAAAATAAGTATAATACTGGAAAGCAACAGAAAAGGGGAATACAGAAGAGAGAAATAGAGGTAGAGAGTCAAGGGGGTAAAAAGGGGAGAGAGAAGAAGAGAGGGAAGAAGGAAAGGAAAAGAAGTTACAAAGGACCGGAGCAAGATATAGAGAAACAGGACCTATTTAGAGATAATGGGTGAAGATCTAACTGAAAAAGGGATTCTGTAAAGGTACATAAGATTGTATTGTTATATTAGTAATAGAAATAACTTTAGAAAATTGGAAACAACATATGATTAAAATGAGGGATAAAATAGTTAGTGTAATTTAGTGAAATGTTTGTGAATAAAATAAGTGAAATAAAATAAATGAGAAAATTGAATTAGGAAGGAACGGGAACATTTTAATTAGTTAATGTTTTATAAAATATAAATGAAGAGGGGGGGGAATTAACTATGGAAAGCTTATAATTGTTCCCATAGAAGTATGATATTTAATTGAAGAGTAATGTTAAAGATGTTAAGACTTTAATGCATATTAATATTAATGATAGAATTGAATTGGAATGGAATGTTGTTTTAATTATATACATTTATAATTTTTTTTCTTTTTTTAAGAATACAGTGTGTATTTTAAGAATGTACCAAGCAGAATCCGAATGGAAGTTATGTATTATAATGAATGTTACAATTTTAGGGAAAAGATATAAAGGGGTCCATACTCCAATCAGTAACTACAGGAGAAATTTTGTTTAATGAGAAAAGATAATAGATAATTGAAACAGGACAGACAAAAAATATAAATACAATGATTTGAATTGAGATGAGATAATTAAAATAAAATTGAGAAAATTAAAAGAGGGGAGAAGCTATGCAGAAAATGTAAAATAGTAATAAGATATGGAATAGAATATAAAAATGAGCATGAACCTGAATTTGTGTCTGTACGAAGAAATGTAACCCGGGATTATGCTGCTTTCAAAAAAGATGTTTTATTTGTATTTTTTTTTCTCTTTGTGAAAACTCAAATAAAATTTACAAAAAAAATAAATCCTGGGCTATTTACAATTCACAAGCCACAGCTTCACACACACACACACACACACACACACACACACACCAGTATAAGAAAAATCTACTGTCCTAATTGTAAACCAATGGATGCTTTTTAAAAAAATTTATGGTGTTAAACAAGATAACCCGATCATCAACAGCTATATAGGGTCCAGATTGAACCTTGGCCAACTCTATACCCAACCTTCCAGTTTGTTCAGGTGTGAATGGTATTTCTAATTCTCCTTTGCCCAGGAGGTTCAAGGAAACTGACCCCTGGGCCTTCATTCTCCATCTGAGCCCCACAACATGAACCCTTTGAAGCAGGAAGAGCAGAGACAGAGCAATTGGCCCAGAGACACCCAAAGAACTCCAGAATGGAATGGAGACTTGAATCTTCTTGATCTAAGCCAAGGGTCTTCAAACTTGACAGCTTTAAGACTTGTGGACTTCAACTCCCAGAATTCCTCCTCCAGTCATGTTAACTCAGGAATTCTGGGAGTTGAAGTCCACAAGCCTTAAACTTGTGGTTTGAAGATCCTTGATCTAAGCCCACTGTTGTAATGACTAAACCTCCTAAGTTGATTCAGTTGAGCACCAAAGTTATATTCCTGCTCTCATATCTCGGTTTCATCTTCATCCAGCACGGCTTACACTGCAGAAGCGACCGATTACGATGTCCGCGTGCTACTGCGTTTCCCGCAGCGAGTGAAGAACCAGGGGACGGCAGACTTCCTGCCCAACCGAGCCCGTCATACTTGGGAATGGCACAGTTGCCATCAGTAAGTGTCCCTCAATGTCAGAAACTGGTGTGTGAAAGCGTGCGGTGTTCTTGTTCAATTCGCCCAACCGGCTTAACCAAGGTTGTTCACTACCTAGCAACTGCATTCCCACCCAGCACTAAAACTGGTTGGCTACAAGTTGCTTGTTTCGGGATGTTTAGCCTAACGAGTAAACCCTTCTCCACTCTGTCTATAAGGTTATGGGTTCAAAGTTTTCTACACATCCAGAAGACACGTCAGGCCCGAACCAAGAAAGACATGTGGTTGATTCTTCCAAACTGAGTTGTTGTTGTTTTTTATTGTATCACACCTATCAGCGAAATCTTCTCCTATCTGAATTTACAATATAATCTGGGACCTATTGAGAAGGAGCTCTCTTCACCCTCTTTCTCACACACGTGATATCTGGGCTGAGTTGCCTCTTCCTCTTCTGGAATTCACCCTCTCCTTCCTGGGGATCTACCTTCTCACTACATCCCATCACACCTTGGTACTTGCTATGATTGACACATTTTCCTTGTTTATTTGTACTCTCAGACTAGAGGGCAACCAAAGCTGAGGCTTCACACTAGAAGCCACAAGACCCCCTCCCCTAAGGAGAGCTTCTAGCTCCCCCTTCCCCCAAATACAGCCCTGAAACCAGGGCTTCAGAAATGAGATGGAAGGTAGACCCACCTTCTGACGGTCATCCTTAGCATTCAGATTCAAAACTTGTTATGGGCATCTTCTCATGTGAAAACCTTCCTGTAGGCGATGTTGGGTTTCTTCTAAGCCAGGGGTGTCCAACCTTGGCAACTTTAAGCCTGGAGGACTTCAACTCCCAGAATTCCCCAGCCAGCAAAGGAATTCTGGGAGTTGAAGTCCTCCAGGCTTAAAGTTGCCAAGGTTGGACACCTCTGTTCTAAGCAATCCTTCTCCATTCTCCAGGCATTACCACAGTATGGATGAGTTCAGCCATTATGACTTGCTGGATGCTACAACAGGGAAGAAGGTGGCTGAAGGCCACAAAGCTAGCTTCTGCCTAGAAGACACCACGTGTGACTTCGGGAACCTCAAGCGCTACGCCTGCACATCACATACCCAGGTGGGTTTACTTTGGGGTGCAAAGACAACCTTTTAATGACTGATTTCCAACTTCCAAGACTGTGGAGGTATGTTGGCAATATCACGATATTGCTAGAGAGTCCAGGTTGACATTTTGGACCCAACTCTTGGGGTTTAGAAGAGTTAGTGGGAATACTTAGTGAGAGCAGGTGCATTAGAGTTATTTAGAGCTGAGCACATATCTTTGGGAGTGGGTGTTTAAAATTGTGCTACATAAAAAGGGGCAGTTTACTATGAAATCTTAGCAGCCCAATCTTGGAGGATTTCAGAGGCTGAAAATCCCTGAGTTTTAGCCAAAAGGTGTGTGTGTGTGTGTGTGTGTGTGTGTGAAGTTCCATTTAAGTTGATTAGCAGTTGAAATCCTAGTCTTTGGGTCTATTCTTGATGGAGGAGAGGGGAAAAGAAGGAGAGGAAGGAGGAGGAGAAGAAGAAAGAGGAGGAGGAGGAGGAGGAGGAGGAGATGATGTAATTCTGTGCCATGCCTATTTTCCCATCAAGCATCTTTTCGCAGTCTGACAACTGTTATCTTTCAAAATGTCATCAACATTTGAACCCAATATTTTTTTAAAATTATCCACTTCAAAGTTCAAGCCATGTTTTTGTTTTCTTCCAGGGTCTGAGTCCAGGTTGCTACGACACTTACAATGCTGACATAGATTGCCAGTGGATTGATATCACAGATGTTCAGCCTGGGAATTATATCCTTAAGGTGCGCCATAAAATTTTGAACTTCCCTAATGTTGCTTTCTATTCTTTAGGGAAGTAAAGACTGTGTTATAAGTGAAAAGTCCACTTCAAATGACTGTTGAAAAGTGAGGGCTGGAGATGTTGACAGTATAATCAGACACGTCAAGATGACAAAGACACAACGGTGCTTTCAAACCTTTGCCAGGTTGTGTTGCAACACCCATAAAAGCTGGTTTTCAATCATAACATCATGGTCACCATCTCAATTTTTAAATCATACTCTACAACAATGTCTGTCAGCCTCAGCAACATTAAGATATTGGTTGACCAGGGAATTCTGGATGTTGAAATCCATACATCTTTAAAGTCACTGAAGTTAAAATTGCTGCCCTAGAGACACCCCTCATGGGGGTGGGCCAAAATACATTGATGAGCAAATCAAGGGACTAAATGACATGCCTTTCCTATCTAAGAAGCTGGTTGGTAGGTTGGTTGGTTAGTGGGTTGGCTGGTTGGCTGGTTGGTTGGTGTTGGGTGAGTGGGTGGGAGGTTAGTGGGTTGGCTGGTTGGCTGGTTGGTTGGGGTTTGGTGGGTGGGTGGGAGGTTAGTGGGTTGGCTGGTTGGCTGGTTGTGGGTTGGCTGGTTGGTTGGGGTTGGCTAGTTGCTGATTGGTTGGTTAGTGGGTTGGCTGGTTGGCTGGAATTGGTTGGTTAGTAGGTTGTCTAGTTGGTTGGGGTTGTCTGGTTGGTTAGGGTTGTCTGGTTGGTTAGGGTTGGCTGGTTGGTTGGGGTTGGTTGGCTGGTTGGTTGGGGTTGGCTGGTTGGTTGGTTGGTTGGTATGTATGGGAACTTCTCCCTTCTTCCCAGTTCTGTATCAAAGAGGTTGATTTCTTTTTTCACCTTCTCTCAACCTCTCAGGTTCAGGTAAACCCCAAATATATTGTGATGGAATCAGACTTCACCAACAACGTGGTAAGGTGCAACATTCACTACACCGGGCGCTTTGTGGCTACCACAAACTGCAAAATATCCCAGTAAGCCTCTGGAATGACTTTCTCTTTGGGAGCATGGATAGGCTGAGTCCAATTATTTTGTGGGATGGTCTCTAGCTTTGAGAGGCCCACCATGAGACTCTTTGAAACAAATGTGGCCCCCACTGTCCATGGGATCAGAACTTGGATGCATCATCTTAAATCTGGTTCAGTGTTAGTAGAGGTAGGGTTAGTTTGATCCGAGAACGAACAACCTGTCAAAATGATGGGACTCTTTATTGGCCTGAAGTCATCTTCTCCCAGAGCAGATGGCTGTGATGACCCAGGGTGGGATACAAAATAAACACAGTCACAAAAAACAGGTGAAGCCCCTTTTATTCCTTCACTTTGCTTCCAAGCTCCAAATATCCTTGACTAGAAACAAAAAAAACTCCACCACAAGCAGTTACAAGGAGGAGGAAATGCTGTTTAAATTATAAAGAGTAAAAAAAAACAACACAAACCAGGCAAGATAAGGGCTTGAAGACATCCACAGATATCAGAACACACACTGGAAAGGATGCCAAACTCAGAGAGGAACCATAAACTAGAGATATTTCCATGCTTTGTTTCCAGCACTCGCCTGTACGCATGTCCGTCCTCTTATCCAGTTGTCACAGCTGCAGCCCATAAAGAGGATCAAAGTCCTCTCCTCTTGAATAGACCACGTCTCTCCCTTATCCTCTCCTCCCTGCATGCCCTAGGATGGAGAGGGGATGGGCCTGGGTCCTCCTCTGACTGCTCAGCCGGCCTCTGCCCTTCCCCAGCCTCCTCCACAACCTCTGGAGTCACACTTCCCCTCCCTGTTGGCTGTTCCTCCTCTCCCTCAGAGTCAGTCTCCACCAGGGTCATGACAATGGCCTTCATGAGCAAGGTGGATCCCTTTCCTGCTCCACCCCCTTATCAGTAATCTAATCCAGTAGGTTTCTGGATTTGACAAGCTTCCTCAATCTGGATCACCTCCATTCAATCTGTGTGACAATGTCCCTCAACTTTTCTCCCTGACCTGTAGCCCAAATCTGGCAGGGATTGCATGTCTAAACATCTGGAAGGGGTCCATCTGGTGAAAGCGATAGAAAACCTTTTCAGAAGACCTATGGCATTCAGTCAAGTCATAACCAAGTTTGTAGGAGCTCTATCTTCTGCTTGTCCATTTACCCTTCAACTCCAACCTTCAGTCTATTCACTCTTAGATCCAAAGAGCTAAAAATGGAGCCTCCACCATCAAGAGTAATCTGCCTGAAGATTCCAGCTGTTTAAATTGGGAGCAGCATTGACCTAATCCAACTGGGCTGTGCTGATGTTCTTCTGTGTCATTTGGACAGGCACCTAAGCTTCATTAATATGCAAGTTCCTAGGCAAATAAAGCACTTGGAGCAATCCCAAAGGTGCTTTCCGAAAGCGGCAACTGGACTTTCTTGAGTTTTCTTGGAAGACGTTTCGCTTCTCACCCAAGAAACTTCTTCAGCTCAGAGCTAAAGAAGCTTCTTGGATGAGAACTGTCATTAACTCATCATCCTCTTTTTAATGACCCCCATAATCCCTTGCAGGGTGGAATTGCGCTTGCAGAGTATTTAATGGCCGGATGCTGTTCCTGTCACCAATGCGGAGTTTTGTTCAGCAGATATATTCTCATTGTGGCCAGAGAGAGAAATATCTGCCTCTACGTAGGATTGAACTCACAGCCTCCGAATTGTGAGGCGAGAGCTCCACCTCCACGCCTGGCATGATCTGAACATAATTCTACTGTTCCTGGATTTGCATCTGATACTGGACTTCACTCTCTTGGTTTCTCCTTTGCAGGTCTTGATTTCAACTAGGATGGCAACAGCTCTTCCCACCTTGCTTAATTGTCCTCTCTCGTCTTCTGCAAAAGCCTCTTGCAAGGTGAAGCCCGCTAGGAGGGAGTGGCCTCATCACACCTGGAGCCTATACAGAAATGGAAATCATTCCTCAGCTTCTTCTTCTCTCTCTCTCTCTTTTTTTTTTTTGAGACTATGTTAAATGAAATGTGTCACTTCAATACTTTTTATAAATACGTTTGTTCTGAATCTTGGTTTGTTTGTTCATTTTTTTTCACAATGGAATATAGTAGAACCTAGAAAGTGGAAGGTCTCTATTGTTGATACAGTGTTGTCTAGTATAGTAAGAGGTGGTAGTATGGGAGGGTTTCTTCTAAAGTCTACCACCATTTCTACAGTTTTGAGTGTGTTCAGTTCCAGATTGTTCCGGTTACACCACGAGGCAAGTTGTATAACCTCCTGTCTGTCTGCGGATTCGTTGTTGTGTTGAACGAGACCAATCACTGTTGTGTCATCAGCAAACTTCAGTATTTTAACAGATGGATCGTTTGAGATGCAGTCATTGGTATATCGGGAGAAGTGGAGAAAGCACACAGCCATGAGGGGCCCCTGTGCTGATTGTACAGGTATCGGATGTGATTCTGCCTAGCTTCACCTGCTGCTTCCTGTCTGTTAGGAAGCTTATGATCCACTTACAAGTGTGTTCAGGTACCGCTAGTTGGTTTAATTGCCTTAGAAGAGTGTCTGGAATGATGGTATTGAATGCTGAACTGAAGTCTCCAAAGAGGACCCTTGCGTAGGTATTGGGAGATTCAAGGTGTTGTAGGATGTAATGCAGAGCCATGTTAACAGCATCATCTGTCGATCTATTTGCTCGGTATGCAAACTGCATGGGATCTAACAGCGGATCCGTGATGGTTTTCAGGTGGGACAGCACAAACCTTTCAAAGATTTTCATAACTGCATATGTTAGAGCAACTGGTCTGTAGTCATTCAGTCCCTTGAGGGAGGGCTTCTTTGGCACTGGGATGATGGTAGAACGCTTGAAGCAGGAAGGAACATAGCGCAACATCTCTAGGGATCTATTGAAGATTCGGGTGAAGATGGAGGCCAATTGGTCAGCACAGACTTTTAAGCAAGAAGGAGTTATCTTGTCTGGCCCTGGTGCTTTTCCTGGCAGCTCATTCGCCAAGCTGGGCATCGGGGGAAGAGGGATCCAGAATGTAAGCTAGGGTGTAAATGCAGATACAAATAGTCCTGGACTGACAACACTGGGCTGAGTGACCGTTCAAAGTTACAACGGCACTGCAAGAAGTGATGTAAGGCTGCTGTCCCACACTTTTACAACTGTTGCCGCATCCCCGTGGTCACAAAATTCAGACGCTCGGCAACTGACTCATATTGGTTGGCTGGTTGGCATGGGAACTTTCCCCTTCTTCTCAGTTCTGTATCCAAGAGGTTGGTTTGCTTTTTCACCTTCTCTCAACCTCTCAGGTTCAGGTCAACCCCAACTATATTGCGATGGAATCCAGACTTCACAAAATTCAGGCGCTCGGCAACCGACTCGTCCTTATGACCATCGCAGTGTGTGTCCCACGAGCAATGAGGTCTCCCTTCTAACAAGCTACGTCCGTGGGGAAGCAGATTCGCTTTAAATCTGTTTCAATCTGGGTAGAGAAAGTCCTCGACATTCGACCACAGTGGGGAGGGAGGCTGCCTTGGATCCATTCACAGAAGCCACATTAGGACTGAGGACCGTTGGTTCTCTGTCAGCATTTGTTCCCATTGACGCTGTAAATCGTGAGCTGGCAGAGGGGATCTTGTGGGGCTCGGGGCAGGCTGGTTTCATTTTTCATATGTGCGTACTTTTTTAACCCCCCCATGCTGTAGCCAAACAAGAGGTTTTCCGAAGAGCTTACAAGCCTCCACAGCAGGTCCTGAGCTTTCCAATTGAAAAGGGATGGCACTGGGGAGGGGAAGAGGAAGAGGAGAAGGAAAGAAAAGGGAGGGAGGGAGAAAGGGAGCGGAAGGGGAGAAGGAAGAGAAGGAAGGAAAAGGAAGGAAGGAAGGAAGGAAGGAAGGAAGGAAGGAAGGAAGGAAG